TTTGGGCGACATTTATGTATAATGGTATAAAGATGAAAATAACCCGGGAAGAAACTATCCCGGTACACTGTAAATGAAGTTCAACACAGTTATCAATTTTCGAATAAAATATTGAAGGCGAATAACAAAAAATTTAGAATACTGATACCGATACCGTCAGAAAATATGAACAAGGTACGTTATTATTATGCTAAAAAACAAGAAAAACGTGGTTAACAGTTGCAAGAGGCCTGGTTTTAATATACAAAAAGAACATGAATATCAAAGGTATGCTGGAATACTCGATAGAAATTAATTGTCTTCGATTCGACTTAAATCTTTTTCACTACATCAAACTTTGAATACATAGGTGAGATGTCGAATTATCTCACTACACAAGATATTAAACATAACATCTTAAAAGAGAAGTTCTTGCATGACATTGCTCAAATAATATCTTCAATGCATTTGAATGCTCTAAATACTTAAGATCTTGAATTAACTCCCTTAATATAGGTCTTGAATAAAAAAAAACCAGATAGGGGAGACCGGGGCACAGTGAATCGGAAAAGTTGTTTTTGAATATTACTCCTTATCAAAAGGCAGAATTGATTGTCTTTTAAGTGCAAACGATAATGACCCATGGTCAGTGTTTAAACATGGCAATTATTACATGCCAACTTTGACAATTTTAAATATACAAGTGTTTGAATTTTTTAAAAAAGCTGATTCACTGTGCCCTGGCACCGGGGAACAGTGGACCATCACCTGGGGCACTGTGAATCAGACAGTGAAATCAGTGGATTTTTTCTCTCTAAAAAGGATAAAAAATTACAAACATAAATGTTTTGCAAACAGAATTATTTATTCAATAATTAAGAAAAACCAAATTCAGTCTAAATGCAGTAATTTAGACCACAAAATTATCTAACCAATGACAACAACATGTGTGACTAGGTGTCTTCTAAATTCACATGAGTAAAATTGCCACTAAAACATCGTAAGTAAAGGAACTGTCTATCCATTGACAGCAACATGTGTGACGTTTTCAGTTATTGGCCTATCTGTTACGTATGAGCACATGAAATCTTCATCACTGAAGATGTTGGCGTCAAAAGGATGGATACCAGATATTTTGAATCCGGAATTGATATTCCTTGGAGTAAATGCCAGTGGGTAAGCTTTGCCGATAATCTGACTTACATTATGAATTGTGATTGGCTGGCCAGGGTGACTTATCATAAAATCATTTGCTGCCTTGGTGTAGAGGCTCTTGAAAGGACCATACACAGAACGGTCTAGGGGCTGCATTTTGTGACTACAGTGAGGCGGAAGTGTTAACATAGTAACACCATTATCCTTGGCAAGGAAAATTGTTTCAATTGATATATGAGATTCATGATTATCTAATATCAACAGAACAGGACGCTCTTTCGAGCATTTGGTTGCCTTAATAAAGTGTTGCATATATACAGTAAAGTTCTCTGAGGTCATCCATCCTGATGGATTTGCTACACCAACAGTTCCAGGCGGAGCTCCATATAGCATGGATTGTTTGAAATGCACACGAGGAAATACCAAGAATGGCGGTACTGAATTCCCAGCAGCATTTATTGTGCCAAGCATTGTTACTAATGTTCCTCTTTCTCCCGAAGTGATTTTGCCAACTTGTTTTTCACTTGTACAAGCAACTACTTTAGTGTTTCCAACTTTCTGAACGGTTGTGCACCCAGTTTCATCTGAATTGTATATGTCAGTTGGACTGAAATTATGTTCCTTCATTTCTTTCTCCAGGTTATCAAAGAAGTCTTTTACATTTTTCTTGTTGAAACTTGTGGCACGCGATAAGCTGGTTGCTTCTGGACGACGTAAGGACAGGTTAGGATACCTTTTCATATACCCAGCAAACCAATCTTCACCAGCACGTCTGTTCTGCCTCCAAGACTCCGGAAATACTTTATCGATTTGCGATCAAATGCTAATTCACGCACTTGCTGTCGTGTCAACCCATAGTGCATTTTAGAGGCTTTGATAAGATATTCCTGTAGAAGTATTTCTTCTTCAGTAAAAACCTGACGGCAGCTGTAATTTGGTGAATATGACATAGATTCTCTGTTTCCATGTTCCCGTGCTCTCTGTACATAACGACGCAAGGTTGAAAAATGAATATCATATGACTTGCAGACATTTCTAATACTCCTTTGTTCTCCTATAACTTTCTGAACGGCCTCTTTCATTTTAGTACTGGTAGTCTTTCCAATTTTCCTATCCTCTTTATTTCTATTACGCACCATATTTTATGATGCTGAAAAAGAATATAATATGCAATTATACTAATTAACTTTTATCTGCATAGTAAGTGAAAAGTCAAAGTAATCAATGCCAAGAGTTGAGATAAAGAAAAAAAACATTACTCGGGGCACACTGAATCACTATTCAAAGTGAGCCACTGTGCCCCGATTCACTGTGCCCCATATGGTCATATTTTAATCATGTGACCACCATCCTGACAAGGCTTAGTATCACATGGATAACACAACTTCGTCAACATCTCCAAACATCCATGTAACTAATGAAATATGATTGAGTGTCTATCAACTGACTATCAAGTGAGTATCTCAAAGGGATTGAGAGCACAAAAATTTACTTTTGGGGGTGTAAAACATACTTTACCTTGCAATTTTTTTTCTGGCTCCAGATAACTGATACTGCAAGACAATTTGGCAGGAACTCTTCAATACACATATACTGATGATGTCATCAGTCTATTAACACAAACCAAATTCTATAAATGATCAATGATTCACTGTGCCCCATGATTCACTGTGCCCCGGTCCCCCCTACAGCTGTTTTGGACCCCGAGTATTTCAAAAGACACAAAAAACGATATGTCTGTGGATACAAATTTGAAATGAGACTACAGGGCCAACGCACCGTACAGCTGTTTTGGACACAGTGTGTTTAAAAAAACAATGTATGTCTCGATATATATATATATATATGAAATATGATAATGAGTCATCATACAGCTGTTACGGAACCTAGGTGTTGATACATAGCACACGACAGAGCAAACTGAAAATAGGTCGACAGAAATATCAAAATCAAAGTACTGAAAGTACTGAAAGGCTAAACGTAATGAAAAATGTTCACAAATAACCGCAAAGCTATATTACTACAATCCAAAGGATAAATAGCTCTATGATGAAGTTGACTAAATTAAACCTTTGAAATACCCAAGATGTTGCAATTACTATACTATCAATATGAGGATTTAGACAAATCGAAAGGACTTTATACCTACTTCTTTATTTTGAATGTATTGCAAAGTAATAGTCCTTACTTATTATAACTATATTTGTAGTTGAGGAAAGTAGATAAGGTGTACACAGCATTTCAGATCGATTAAAGTGTAAGTATTTACATGCCTATCTTCCTTGAAGTATCATGGTTAGACTTTTCTTCCAGTAATTATGTCTATAAAGACATAGTTCTTTGCGGTTAAACCAGACTTCCACATATATACAAAATTTACAACATTTTCACTATAGCTACTACTATTTCTGATTTCCAATGCATTAGATAATGTCACCATGACACGCTAAATGAATAAATATGTTATGGAAATATTTCGTTCTAGTTAATTGATAATTATAAACATGAATTTTTTTTTATACGCGCTTTGTTTGAAGGAATATTTTCATTTCAAGGAACGTTGATACACATTAACAAACCTTGAGAAATCAGCACAACCAACCTTCATCAAATAAAACTAAAAGACAAAAAAGTGCCATGGCGGTGGGTATGAAAAACCTGAAAAAGTGTCATATCGGCGGGTGTGCGCGTGGGACGAACAGTCCAATTCGGTGACGTCTAATGAGGTAAAGTGATGTTATATATTAAGATGATCTTGCCACAACGACAAGGATTAAAACAAAATTGATGTTCTGTTTGTAAGTTTTGTTTGTTTATAAGTGTTAGTTGATAATTCAAACCAAGACCCCAGACTAGCTTCATATCAACTCGTACATGTAGTTTGTGACAATACCTGAACAAAACGTATGGTAAATCATTTTAATCGATATATGTCCTTTTCTTGTGTTGATTTAGATAATTGATGTCTTAGGTTGCACTAAAGACACGCATTATGTTTCAAAAGACACCGAAATCAATGTATGTTTCGATACATATTTGAAATGAGACTACAGGGCGAACGCACCGTACAGCTGTTTTGGACCCCGAGTATTTCTAAAGACACAAAAACGATATGTCTGTACAGTATTAAAAATATATTATGCATAAATCATGAGCACCAATTGTACCTTGCCTACGAAGCGCAACTTTTTATCTTCAAAAACTTGAAAAAGTGCCATGGCGGTTGGTATGAAAAACCTGAAAAAGTGTCATATCGGCGGGTGTGCGCGTGGGACGATCAGTCCAATTCGGTGACGTCTATTGAGGTAAAGTGATGTTATATATTAAGATGATCTTGCCACAACGACAAGGATTTTAAAAAATGATGTTCTGTTTGTAAGTTTTGTTTGTTTATAAGTGTTGTTAGTTGATAATTCAAACCAAGCCCCCAGACTAGCTTCTTATCAACTCGCACGTACAGTGTTCTGTACGCTTACGTCATGTCGAGAATTCCGTAAAATATATTGTTCAAAATTTATCAATAGTTCAACCACACTGTGCTTCTTTTTTGAAGTATATAGTAATCGTGTTGTTATTTAAAAGATAAACTAATTTTTGATGCTTTTAAAATAGCGATTTGAAAGATCGCGACATTATTTACGCAGAAAATTGCCGCTAGAGGTCTCTAACTCTTTTCGATATTTCAGCCAATGAGAAGGCCAGGATCGGTAAATTTTGTCTGAAAGGCCGTCGCAATAGCCTATGCGTACTGAGTACGTTTAGCCAAATCAGGACGAGAAGTGCATGTCTATCCAGACCCCTGTCACATCGGCTAATGAAACCTCCGAGCAGTGTCTACCTTCTGCAATCTCGAAACTCGTATCGTATAAAATGACGCACTAATCTGTATTCCTACCAGAAATATATTTGTTCGGGTTACAAATTTGCAAAGATTTATACCTTTTATTATCAACATTTGTTTATCTTGTCAAATTCAACGACAACTGGCCATATAAAAACAGGGGTATGAGTCCTTGTGAAAATGTTCGTAGATTTCGGACTGTCTATTCTAGATTAATTACTTTTTACCGCGACATGCAGGAAATAATTACCTATCTGGTCCGGGAGAGGGCGATACTGTAGACTGGGCAGACGAGAGATCTGTCAATAGAAACAAAACACAAATAATTCAGGTATTGTAGATCAAATTTTACCAAGATCTGACTATGTAAATTATGTAAAGCAACAATAACAAACATTTTATTTTAGGTCCCAAAATTGCCCGTGATCTGTCGCTTTAATTATTCAAATAATGGCACGGTAATCCGCCTTCTCAACGATTGTACATGACACACAAGTGAATAGCGCCTTTCAATTAAAAAAAAAAAATAATATATAGCTGAATAATGGATTAAACTGTGTCATACACCAGCTGTTTCTTAATTTTAGGACCTGACAACGATTCTTTAAGGCTGAAGAAAATACAAAATTCATCGAAAGAAATATCGAAATCCTGTCTGTGAGAGGCAATAGTCCCCACGATTCAATAAACAGACTTGGCCGACACTGAAATACACTCACATTTTTTCATAACGTTGAATAACGTTAAATTTTAACTTTAAACTCGCGTGAAACGAGCAAGTACGTTGATATATATATATATAGATAAGACACGAAATGTGTTTAGCACTGTGTTTTATAATTCACAAGAATGAAACTAGATTTTGCTCCTTACCTGTGAGGTAGATGTACAATGACCAACGCATCAGCCACTGAATAGAAAGTCGTGACGTCATTATCTGTCCTCGTCATAGTTGGATCTCATCTATTTATATATAAATGTAGGCAAAATATCATACTTGAAATAGTTAAAAATAAATGAATACAAATAAAGCCAAATATCCTATTACGCTTTTCAGTTGAATTACCTGCACTCGTCATATGTTATTTTCGATTTCATTTTCAATTACTTTAAAAAGGTTCTTAATTGACGTCCCGATCTCACTCTATATTGAAATTTATGAAATTAACAAATAAGTTACTTTTCTCCAAAAAGCATGAAATTTTGAAACAAATAATTCCATAGTGGATTGTTACCTATTTATTAACTACCGAGACATATACAGGATTTAATTATGATGTATAATGTGACAGAAAACTTATCAATATTACAACAAAATAGAACAAGGAATCGAGAAGTATACAGATCTCCTCGCTCCAGTTTGATCAAAATCCGTTTAGAAATGAAATTGCCAGTGCGATGACAAATATTTTCTATAAATAGTAACGGTTACCCTTAATGTTGATCCTGGCTCACTGAAGCACGAATCTTTCATGATATTGTGATACTTGACCGATATATGAAGTTAGATGAAAATCCGGTGAGAAATGAAGTTGCTACAGTGATGACAAAACATGAGCATACGTACATGTATATTGCACGTACGACCAGAATTCTGTATCCTCTCATATCATCTCGAGGGGATAACAAAATACGAGGGGAACATTGCTAGTATACCAGAGTAACAGTTTAAGGGCCAAGAAACGATGTATCACCAGGTTACCTGCGACGTAACAATCAATTTTACTTACAGATCCGTCACCAGCAATAATACCAAGGTACAACGTAGTTAAAATAGCTTCACATTAAACCGTTTCACCAGACAAATAAAGAATATTATTCGTGGTAGATTATTTTTTAACCGTCTCGTATTCCTGGTAAGAAAGCGAAATCTGTCAGCTGAAAAAAAAATCTACCACTT